CCTTTCGTATGTACGTCTGCATCACTCGACACGTACGGACGCCATCCCAAATCCCTCACTAGCTTCCTCACCGAAGTCTGAGCGTCCGCTAAAATACCGCTGGCTAAGGTAAATATCCCCCGCATGCTGCTGACTCTACTCGTCTAGCTATCGCATCACCTGTATGCACTTACTTCTAATCCTGGTCAATGTACCCTCTCATCGATTGCTTCCTCCTCGCATCTTGACCTACACCCCTTCAACTTCCACGAGCTCTAAGTGGGATCATGATGCTCCATGTTTCCGCGATACGGCGGTGTCAGTGGCTGCAGTCGCGAGCCGTTTTACTTTGGGGGTCTGACACTACCAACATCTGCTCGTCATCAAGTACACGATGTAAGCACGACCGATTTCTCGCGTTTCACTTGCCCCGGACCCTGTTTTTTTTCCTAGTACACACAAAAAAAAAAAAAAAAAAAATCAAAAAAAAAAGTAGAGAGGTGAGTGTATCTAACCATTTGTCTGAGAGCCAGTGTGTGTGTGTGTGTGTGGTCGTGTGTGTGTGTGTGTGTGTGTGTGTGTGTGTGTGCGTCTGTATGTCTACCTGCCTGTGCGTCTATGTGCAGCAAACGCCTCTGTTCATGTGCTTTGGCTGTCAATGCACTTTTCAAACACCACAGACCCGGCAGAAACAAAGCCCATCCACCCCAAGAGCACCGAGTATGGATTGATTCGTCTTCGCTTGGAGGAAGCACGGCTCAAACACCTGTCCACCATCTCCATCGTGCCAGACCAGGTGTGTGTGTGTGTTGTGTTGTGTTGTGTTGTGTTGTGTTGTGTTGTTGGCGGTTTCTTGTTCTGCCTTGTCCGTGCATACAAGTCATCGCCGTGCCCTCCTCAAGCACATGCATGCCCAACGGACCCATGCACACACTCTTTCTTCTCTCACCAAAACTCACCCGCCTCTCCACCGCCTCATGCACGCGTCACAGATGGCACGAGGGTCCAAGAGCGAGTTTGCCATCTGCGCGGCACCCGACAGCAAGGCAACGTCGCCAGCATGGCCCAACTGCACACTCACCCCGGAGAACTGGCAGCCAGCGGGCGTATGCAACTCGACCCGCTGCCTTCAGACCAACCCGCACTTTCGCACGCGGTGTGGCCCGCGCCTGTGCCCGGGACCCCGCTGTCCACCTGTTCCCCAGCAGAACTTTGTCGGCTGCTTCCACAACCATATCCTAGGCAAATGCGACTTGCCCATCGTCATCACAGGTCTGTGTGTGTGTGTGTGTCTGTGTGTCTGTCTGTGTGTCTGTCTGTGTGTCTGTCTGTGTGTCTGTGTGTCTGTGTGTCTGTGTGTGTGTCTGTCTGTCTGTCTGTGTGTCTCCATGCTCCATGATGACACGTCCTCCTGCTACTCTCTTCATTTTCCTCACAACTACTACACACACGATGTTCTGCCTTGCTTTCTTTGGTGATCACAGGCACGTGCAGCAATGTAAGCAAACCCTTGTTTGGGAACATGGACGTGGACGTGTGCAACGCCCTTTGTCAAGGGTACGTTCTCGAGGCTTTCTGTTAATTGTGTGTCTGCATGTGTAGGTGTGTGCGCGCGTGGGTGTTGCAATCGTCTTCAAGGCCGCTTGTTGTGAGTGTGCTGCCGTTGTTGTGATGGTGACGCCGTTGTTGTGATGGTGACGCCTTTTGCTCGCTCACAGCGTCAATACTAACACGTCTGCTTCCGCTGTTCTCTGTTTTGCTTGCCTGCAGGCATAATTTCTTCGGCGTGGGCGATGGCGGTGTAGGGTGCTACTGCGGGTCAACCTACGGCAGCCAGGGCGCTGCGCCGGCATCGAATTGCAGCTGGCCCTGTGTCGGTAACCCCTTGCAGACGTGTGGTGGTAAAGACCTCAACAGCATCTACCGCGTCGCGCCCGTCGACCAACCCAGCACCCCATGGCAGCATCTTGAAAGCGTGTAATCCACTCCAAGTCCAATGGCTGGAACTCTGCTGCTTTTGCTGTGTGATGGGTGGGGTGTGAGTTATGCGTTCGCAGCTGAGCGGAAGAGTTGGTTTGAGGGTGACGCGTGTATGCTTGCTGGCAAGCTGGGCGCAGCTGGACCCCTGGACTCTTGGATGTGGGTGCGTGATGGATGCAGTGACGAATGATGAATGTGTAATGTAACCGTGTGTGTGTCTGTAAGTCTGTATGCGCTGCAAATCGTGGTGGTGGATGGATTGATTGTATTGATTGGACTATTGGACCTTGAAAACACAATGAAATGTAAACAGAGAGTAAACAGAGACCACGATGTGGTGGAATGTCATCTTTATCCTTCTTCGTACTGTGTCAGTGCATACTCGCATGTAGGCATGTGCTCATGTGCGACGGCCGGCGGGAAGAGGGAAGGCTGCGCTGCTGGCTGGCTGGTGGAAGCACGGGCAGAAGGGAAGGCAACTCACGACAGACAGCACGAAGTGCAGCAGCTGCTGCTTTGAAGAACATTGGCGAAAGATGTTGCGCATTTTCGACACGGTGAAATTTGCCGCTCCACCACCACTGTCCGCAGCACGCTCCAAGCAGCCAACCAAGCAACCAACCACAACACCCCGCAGCCCTTCCTTCCCTTCCTACTTTCTTGCTTGCCTTGCTCGGCCGAGCCATGCAAGGAACAATGATGGTGGCTGTGGCAACACTGCAAGTGTTGGTGGTTGCCACCATGATCGCCAACGCACATGCACGCTCAACCACTGCAAACGCTTTCGCCCACAACAATCAGGTGTGGTGTTCTGTTGTCCTTGTTGTCCTGTTGTTTTGTTTGTCGTGTGCATTGGGAGAATGAATACACTCCGTCTCCTCTCCTCGTGCCGCCCACACACACACACACACACACACACACACACACACACACACACACACACACACACACACACACATACACACACACACACACATATCAACGCGTGCACTTCCACGCTTTCCCTGTCACTTTCACTCACATGCTTGCATGCACGCATCTTTACCCACCCCACCTCTCTCCTATGTTCGCTAGCTCTGCTCGGATGTACACGGCACACTGGACAGCATGGCGCGTGTGCTTGAAGCGCACGACGTCCCGTTCTTCCCCAAGCACCATGTCGACAAGATACACAACGGCAGTCACAATGACACTACGACCGGACACAAAACGACACGGGAAAACACGCTACTCTCTTCGCTTGTCGACCTGTCTCCAATTCATCGCATGATGACTGCGTTTGGGTGTGACGATCGAAATGAGGACAGCAGCAAAGACAAACAACATCTTGAAGGAGATCACAGGACACCACCGGCTCCACTGTTGACAACCACCACCGCGCACGTGGAAGAGAAGGTGAATGACATCCGCCGCAACAACGCAACGACCAAGCTACCGTTCCAACAACAGTCACAACCCCAACACAGCCGAGTGCGACGAAATCAAGACCCTGTTGTACATGCAGGGCAGTGCACGCTGGCGAGCGTGGTCGATGGCTCGTGTCCTGGTCCGACAATCAACGGCAGCCTTGTAATCTCAGTCGAGGACACCGAGTCGCCCGATGAAGAAACAGATGCAAGCACATTGCGCAGCATCTCTCCGCGGGTGACCAGGCTTGTATTGAATGGGCACATTGAAGCAGAAGCGCTGGAGTGGGTTGTGACCAACGGCAATTGGACGATGTGCCGCTCTTTCTCGGCCATGGGCGTGCAGTTTCCCACGCTTCAGTTGAGCGTGCTCAACCCAATGACAAGCGTCGATACCATCAATATCTGCGACAGCAAAGTGCTTCGAGCACTCGGCACCGACGGCTTTGCCCTCTCACACGAGCTCGTCCACATGGACTTGCACAACAATTCCCTCACATCTGTCCCAGACGTATCTGGCATGACCTCGCTGTCAACCCTCAGCTTGCACAACAACCGCATCCGTGGCATCGCAAAGGACGATTTCAAGGGCTTGCCAGTCCTGCAGCAGCTGCTTCTTGGCGAGAACCTCATTTCTGAGATTGAATCACGGGCATTCGATGACCTCACTCAGCTGCAGGTGCTGACCCTGTTTGCCAACGAAATCAGCACCATCCATTTCGACCTGTTCCATCGTCTCATGAGCCTCACAAAGCTTCAGCTGCATCAGAACCCCATCACAGAGCTTGACGCTCACGTTTTTGCTGGGCTGCCCAAGCTGGATCATCTGAGTCTCGAGGACATGCTCCTCACCAGCTTGCCAGCAACGCTATTCCGAAAGAACACGCGCCTCACTGTGTTGAACTTGGCGGGAAACTTCATCACGTCCCTGCCCAAGACCATCTTCTCTGGTCTGTCATATCTGCAGGGGCTGCAAATCTTCAACAACCGCCTGTCTTCGCTGCCACCAGGCGTACTCGAGGACTTGGCGGCGCTGAAGGTCCTTGACTTGTCGAGGAACGAGCTGACGTCCATGCCTGACGACCTACTTCAGTTCAACCGCTTTCTCGACGAGTTCTTCTGTGCAAACAGCCATCTCACCCAGCTTCCACCCAATTTGTTCGCCAACACCCCAGACCTGCGACTGGTGTCTTTCGCCAACAACGATCTTCACTCCATCGACAATGTGCTTGCAGGAGCGTCCCTGCCTTCCTTGGTTGCCCTTAACCTCAACAACAATCACCTGACGGAGTTGCATCTGTCCAAAGAATTGCCTGCCTTTCGCAGGTTTGGCTTGAGCAGCAACCCCATGCAGGAGCTGCCAGACGTCACCCTCGCGCCTGCCCTGAAAACCATGCGGCTGCAGAACCACGAAATCAAGCACATGGACTTGGCGCCACTTCTTCGTTTGTCCAACCTCGACATCCTTGAGCTCGATGCGTCTCCCCAAGCAGAGTCCAAGGCAGTGTTGACGGACGCCAACATCGGTAGCGTCGCGCCGTTATCAGTGCTCAGTTTGGAGAATGTCGACGTCACTTCCGTGATCCCATTACTTGAACGCCTCCCGTCGCTGAGTCTCGATGCCCTGCATGTGGGCTGGCCGGGCGCCAGCAACGCCACGCTCCCAATCAGCAAGGTGTGCATGCTGCTCGCAAAAAGCGTGCGAGAGCTTCGCATCGCCAACACGAACTACGAAGCCATTGAGTTGTGTGCTGACAGAACATTCCACTCCATCCTTCTGAACGACAACGAGCACCTGCGGTCTGTCACCGTCCACAATCCGCTGCGTGAGCTGAATATGTCCGGGTGCACCCACCTCACTTCTATCGACGCTCCTCCGATTGACATCCTCGACATCAGCAACACCAATTTCCTGCCCGTTGCTGCGCTGTGTACACGCTGGGGCAGACGCATTCTCTTCGCCCGCAACTTGGCCGGAACCATTGACACACGACAAGCGGCGGCAACTGCACGCAACTGCCTTCAGCGAGCGGATGTGATAGATCTTTCTGGCAACACGTGGTTGGGTCAACTGGAGGAGATCAATCGCGTGACAGAGAGATCAGTTGTCTTGTCAGAAGAACAAGATTGGACGGCTGACCTGGTCCCTCTTCCAAGCCGGTCCACCCCTCCCATCCTCCAACTCACTGATGCGCCGATTGAATGTGCGCTTCAGCTGTCAAACCGGGATCTGCGTCGACAGAGTGATCTCTTCACATTTACGCCGCAGATTGTGTTCTCCTTCCACTGCACGTGCGCGCGGGGTTTCAAGATGACATCAGATGGACGGTGTGTGTTAGATGAGCCCAACATCGCTGGCGTTGCCGCTGGCTCCGTGATTGGCGGGCTGTTCTTCGGCCTGTTCGTGGCGTGGCTGTCACGCCACTACCGTGGCCTGACGAAACGCATCGGCCTGCAGGAGCAGTTGCTGGTGGAGATGGACGAGGAGGTGATGGCGCTGAAGAAGGCGTGGGAGATTGAGTATGGTGAGCTGAGACTTGTTGAGCGTGTTGCTGCGGGTGCTTTTGGCGTGGTGTTCAAGGCGGAGTGGGACACAGTCATGGTGGCAGTGAAAGTACTGCAGCAAGGGGTGATGATGTTTGACGAGAACACGGTGCAGGAATTTGAGAAGGAGGTGGAGTTCCTGCAACGGACACGCCACCCGAATGTGGTGCGGTTCTTTGGGGCGGGCACAGACCCCAACGGCAGCCCGTTCCTTGTGCTGGAGTTTGTTGCTCTGGGATCGCTCAAGGACCTGCTGGGGAAGGACATGGAGAATGTGTTGAGGGAGGCGGAACAAGGGGAGCGAAGTAGTGAAGATGGTGCAAGGCAGGATGTAACAACATCTGACATCGTGGGTGAAGAATTGACGTTGGTGAGCACTGAAAGCGATAGAAGGCCTGAGACGATGACTGTGTGGGACTTGAAACTGCGGCTACTGCGCGATGTCGCCAGTGGCATGGCCTTTACCCACAGCCTCGACCAGATGCACCGGTGGGTTGATTGTATGTGTGTGTGTGTGTGTCTGTAATGTGTTTGTTTGTTTGTTTGTTTGTTTGTTTGTTTGTTTGTTTGTTTGTGTGCCTGCAAGCATCAAGTCCCTGCTTCACCCAACCCCACGAGCTCCTGCTTCGACTCACCCCACCATGACCACAACCGTTCACTGCCAACAGAGACTTGAAGAGCGTCAACGTGCTTGTTTCATCATCGCTTCGTGCCAAGATTACGGATTTCGGGTCCATCCGCCGGTGCTTCACCCGTGACAGGCACCAACGACAGCGCACCCGCCTATCGTCCAGTCGTGATGATGATGGTGATGGCCCCGAATACAACCAGCAAGCTGGACTGCAAACGATGGCGGGCACGGCGCTGGCAGCTGGCGTGGGCACACCGCTGTACATGGCACCAGAGGCACTGACGGGTGACAAGTGTAGCTTCGAAGCAGACATCTTCAGCTTTGGCGTGCTCATGTGGGAGGTGGCGACCCAGCGCACCCCCGACTTGATTGAGCAGGAGAAGGGCAGTGACTTCAGAGGGCCACTGCTGACAGCCATTGCGAAGCTCTTGACGGAGGGGAAGCGCCTCAAGTTTGACGACAGCGAAAAAGCTGGTGAGAAGCTTATTGTGTGAGTGCGTCAGTGCGTGAGTGTGTGTGAGCTTGTGAGTGTGTGAGTGTGTTTGTATGTAGGTATCTGCATGTGTGTGTGTCTGGGTCGCTTGCGGATTCTTCTCCTCACCCACTCGCCTACCACGCATCTCTCGCCCACCACACATCACCCCCCCCCCTTCTCTCAGCCATCCCCGAGTGGTTCCAGTCGCTGACGTACAAGTGCATGGCGCAGAACCCGCATGAGCGCCCGTCGTTTGGAGAATTGAAAGACCACCACTTTGCTTGATTGTGCAGCTGTGTGTGTGTGTGTGTGTGTGTGTGTGTGTGTGTAGGTTTGTGTAGGTGTGTCTGTAGAGCTTTGTGCCCGTGTAGCTTTGTGTACGTGTGTCTGTGAGGGTGAGGTCCCTAGGTCCTGAGGTCTGTGCCTCGACGCCTCTAGGCCTCGAGTCTTCAAAAAAACACACACACAGAAACGTATGCAGGACTTGAACCAGCGCCTTCACATTTTCCCTGTAACGGTCGAGATGGAAGACGTTTCTGTGGTGGATGTGCGCTTCTCGTCCGCGTCCTCCTCGTCCTCCACAGGCAGTGGCAGTGGAAAGGGCAGTGGGCGCGAGGGGAAGGGAGGAAGGAAGAGTGCGCGGCGAGGTGGCAGTGGACGCCGTACTGGGCCCGCAGAGTTGCTGCAGTCACTGGAGCGTGACCTGCAACGGCTGCGGATGTACAACGATATTGAGGATGAGGATGAGGATGAGGATGGAGATGTGGCAGTGATTGGCAACGAGGTTGCCCTTGACAGTGACAGCCCACAGAAGAGACTCGGCGACTCTCAGTCTGCGCGACGTGCGCTTGGGTCTCGAGCAGTGCGCACAAGGCCAACATCTACAGTGATGAAGGGCGGTGCCTCCTACGACAGAACAGCAGCTGCGCCCTCCCGCAGGCGAACAGCACAACATCGCACGCCACTCCACAGCGACAGCGACAGCGACAACGAGGGCGGGGATGACCAGGGTCAGGCGCAGGCAGAGAGTCAGCGGCCTTGGTATCGACGCCACGTTGCACGCAGGCTTTCAGAGGCACCCCATCAGCACCCGTGGTACGAGGCTATTCTCAGGTGAGCACAACGCGCGTACGCGTGAATATGTGAGTGAAGCATATGTGTGGGTGTGAATGTGTGAAGGGGTGTGTGTGTGTGCGCATGTGTGCGTATAAATGTGTGAAGGTGTGACTGTGTGTGTGTGTGTGTGTGTGTGTGTGTGTGTGTGTGTGTGAATGTGTGTGTGTATGTGTGTATGCAAGGTGCAGGGTCCTTTCAAGGTGTACCTGTGCGCACTTGTGATGCTTCGACAATCTCGTGTCTGCGACTGCAACCGACGTTCTCACATGTGCAAGCTCATGCCTGCAGCGAGCTGTCCATGGACGACACCGTGTCCAGCTCTGGCCGACAATCACCCGGCGGCACCCCGCTTCCAGACCGCGATTCTCTTGCGTATGTGTGTGTGCATCACACCTGCGCATGCCAGCGCTATTGCTCTCCTCTGTTCTTTGTTGTTGCTCGACAACGACATATGATCCGAGCGTACGCTGCTGTTGAGTCGAGTCATAGCACGATTGTTAATGTCACCCATTCCACTCCACCCCACTCCACTGCTTGCTTTGACGCTTGGTTCTGGTCAGGTATCTGTACCGCAACCTGTACACGGACCGCCTTAACTACCGCAACCGCAAGCTGTCGTCGCTGGAGCCATATCACAAGCGCGACGCCAAGAAGACCTCGACAAGCAAGGCAGCATCGGCATCGAGGACAAAGGGGAAAAGCAAGCCACGCAGCGGCAAGGGCCAGACACGCACACGGAAGCGAACCACGGTGGATGGCTCCATCGTCGTGGAGGGCGAGACGGGCACGCACACTATCAGCGCAGGTACATTAGCTGTGTGCGTGCGTGCGTGTGTGTGTGTGTGTGTGTGTGTGTGTGTGTGTGTGTGTGTGTGTGTGTGTGTGTGTGTGTGTGTGTGTGTGTGTGTGCTGACCGTCAAACACGCTGGTCTTCAGTTGGCAAACAGCACCACCCGTCCTCCAAACTCACGACTGCACCGAAACCAACTCATGGTGCAGGGAAAGGTGCGGGTGGCGGTGGCCGTGCAGCGTCATCGTCGGCCATGACACACGCGGAGTGGATCAAGCACAAGGAGCGGCAGCAGAAGAACGAGGCAGCAAAGCAACGCAAGAAGGAGGTGATTTTGTGTGTCTCTGTGAGTGTGTGTGTGTGTGTGCTTGTTTGTGTGTGCTTGTTTGTGTGTTTGAGCGTGTGTGTGTGTTTGAGCGTGTGTGTGTGTGTGTGTGTGTGTGTTGAGGCAATTGACCACGTGCTGACGCTACCACCAACATCACCATCATCATCTCACCGCGTCCACCAGGAGGAGCAGCTGGCGAAGGAGTTGGAGGAGAAGCGGCGGCAACAGGCGCTCAGGGACCGCGGGCACCAGGAGTATGAGCGATGGCTCAACAGGGACAAGCGCGCACGCAGGGCAAGGTGTAGTGCATTTTTGGGCTGTGGTGTACTTGTGCATGTGTTGTGTTGTGTGTGTGTTGAGTGTTGTGATTGTGTGTGTGTGTGTGTGATTGTGTGTGTGTGTGCTGAGTGTTGTGGCGTGTGTGTGTGTGTTGTGTACTTGTGAGTATGCCTGAGTTGCTTTGTGGCCTGACTGCGCGCACTACTGGCATCAACCGTTTGGGCAGGAAACGCCGGGAAGCAGCAAAGAAGAAGAAAGAGGAGCAACGACGCAAGGCGCGGCTCGAGGAACTCATGGTGAGCCGACATGCACATGTACACATGTGTGCGAGGAAGGTGTTGGTTGGTTGTGATTTGTTCACATCACACTCCTCAGCACTCGCTCAAGTTTTACGACAATGTGTGTGTGTGTGTGCTTACGTGCGTGTGTGGGAGCAGCACGAAACGGAAGAGAACTACAAGGAATGGCTCTACGACTATCATCTCAGGCGCCGCAAGGCAGACGCAGAAGGTCGGCTCATTGACGTGTGTGTGTGCGTGTGTGCGTGTGCGTGTGTGTGTTTGACTTGTTTGCACGATGTTCAATGGAAGAAACCACACAGTTCATGCGCAAACCGCCTCTGCCCACCAATCCACAACGCTACCACGACGACCACCACCTTCACACGACGCCCACGCGTCAGAGCGGGAGAAGCGGCGGCGGCAGGCTGAGCTGCGGCGGGAGGCGAAACAGCGCGGCCAGGCCGCATACGACAAGTGGATCAGAGAGGTGCGCTTCCATGCAGGCTCGTCGGCTGTGATATTGCGGGTGGGCGAGTGAGTGCGTGAGCGACAGCTGTTGCTGCACTTCCCTGCGTTTCCACCACTGCACATCTTGCACGGCATCACCTCCCCCCCCTCTTTACTTCCCCTCATCCCGTCCCACCCCGTCTTCCCCCACATCTCAAATCACCACCCCGGCCCACGTGTAGATTGAGCTGCGGCCGCGGGCACTGCGCTTCGAGCAGCCCGTGGAGTGGCGAGGCGTGCTCGACGATGGCGATGACAGGAACCGCCCAGACGTCTTCTCCTATCGAACACCAGAGGTACGTTGAACAGTGGCGTGCAACGGGGATGATGCTGGTGCTGGTGGAACGATGGGTGCTTGATTTTGTCACTTGCAGCTGCGCTATTGCATTTGTTCCCTCCTACTATGACCACCACCACCACCACCACCACCACCACTGCCACCATCCCGTGATGTGTGCAGGAGGCGACGGTAGGCGGGTGCGGGCCATCCCCACCGCTCCTCTTCCGCGACGCGCAGCTGGCGGAGATGTTTGCAGCAAAGCGGCGATGACACGAGAGGGACCCACGACATCACGCCCCTTTTCCACACACGCACATAATATGCACACATATGCATGCGCATGCCGGTCTGTGAGGTGGGGGTTGCCTGATGACTACTTTATATGTACAGACGAAGAATTGGAACGAACCAAACACCAGCTGTGACATGAATGAATGGGTGAATGGACGCGAACGAACGCACAATGCGAGGCATGATACACAGTCCCCAAGCAATGTGCGCGTGTGTGTGTGTGAATGGTATAGCCCGAGCTAGAGGGCGTTTTCATTGCGCAGCTTGATGGACTTTGCGCCGTCGTTCTGCACGTCAAGCGGGTGAAGGTACTTGACGGTGTTCTCGTTGATGGAGAGCGTGCTTGCGTCCATCTTGTCCGTGTACAGGCACCCGTTGAGGTGATCGACCTCGTGTTGCACAATGCGCGCTGTCCAGCCGCTCAGCGCCACAGAGACGTCCGTGCCCGTCACAGCACACAGGCCCGTGAGGTGGATGTCGACGGGCCGCGTCACGTGCGCGCTGTATCCTGGTATGCTCAGGCAGCTCTCGCGGTGCGTGCTCATCTTCTTGCCATACTTGAGCCGTGGGTTGGCAATCGCTGTGTGTGTGTGTGTGTGTGTGTGTGTGTGTGTGTGTGTGTGTGTGTGTGTGTGTGTGTGTGTGGTGGGACACAGTGACATCGAATATGGCTGCTAGCACGAATGAAGCATTCATTGCACTACGGAGACAGCGATATACAGAGACACACTGACACAGAGACAGACAGAGAGCCAGACAAAACACACAGACACAGACACAGGCACAGACACAGACACAGACACAGACACAGACACAGACACACACACACACACACACACACACAGACGCACACAGACGCACACATACACACATACACACACACTCTCTCTCCCTCTCTCTCTCTGTTTACCTGTGAGCGGGACGGGCCGCATGTCCAGCATCTTGATGTCGCGGAAGTTGGTCTCCAGTTCAATCATGTCTGGTGTCACCTCCATCACAAACAGCTGCGCAGTGTAGGTGGTAGAGAGGTGGTGAGCGAGGAGACCGGGAGGCTTGCTCAAGCAGATAGACAGACACACAGGCAGACGCACAGATACAGACGGATACGCACACACACATAGAGACAGACAGACAGACACACACACACACACACAGAGGCGCATGCACTGACCTGCAAGGACTCGCCAATCTGAGGTGCGCAGAGCCCAAAGCCTTTGTCCTCCCGTAACCGGGCTGACAGTGAGTCCACAAGGTTCCGGATGGAGCCATCCTGTGTGCAAGAGCGTTGCCAGTGGCAGTGGCAGTGCGATCGAGGTGAGGGTCGTCGAAGCGCAGTGAGTGGAGCGGGGAGGGGGGCAAGTGGATGCAGGGGGACGGACGGGGAGACCATGGATGCAGAGAGAAGAATGGAGTGGAACGAACAGAAACACACACAGACACAGACACACAGACACACAGACACACACAGACACAGACACACACAGACACAGACACACAGACACAGACACAGACACACAGACACAGACTCACACACAGACTCACACGCAGACACACAGACACAGACACACACACACACACACACACACACACACACACACACACACACACACACACACACACACACACACACACACACACACTCACACGCTTCCCACCGTGATATCTGAGCGCTGGATGGGTGCTGCCTTCTCCCTCAAGACGGGGTGCCCTGCTTCGATGATCTTCGGCAGTGCCCGCCCCCTTCGTATCGCCCGCAGCAGTCGCATGTCGTGTATTTGCTTTCTTGCTTGCTTGCTTGGGAAGTGCACACGTGTCGTCGTCGTCGTTGTTGTCGTTGCGTTGTTGTTGTGCGTGAACTCCACACCCTTCTCTTCCTTCCTTCCTTGTTGGTTTGTTTGTTTCTTTCTTTCGCGTCAATGCC